ATAATTTTCTCACCTTTCTACACTTATAAGACCTGCTGTGTGTACAACCATGCCAGTCCTTCTCCAAGACATAACGTTCACATGTAACCCTAACCCTTATTTGCAACATAAAATTTCCATAATAAACACAAGCTGTACATTTATATAAACCCTAAGTTGCAAAAGCAACCCTTTCCAGTTAAACCATTCCTGACCCTTTTTTTATTGCCTTAAAGCTAGTCAACCCTTAATATGAACCTATTCTGAAGTCATTTAATGTCTTACAAATATGAAGCTCTATCGTAACTTCAGTCATGAGGACAATATAATTGCCTTTATGATCGGGTCTTTCTCATTCATTCCTTTTTGCACGCTCACTCACGTTTCCACTGTCATTCTCGAGCTGTCATTTTCTGGGGCTGTCATTGGATAATCAGCTGTCTCGTCAGCGGTGCTCATCTAACCAGTGGCATGGCGTTCCTCTCTCATTTCCTTTTGAAATATGATTCTCTCTCTGCCTTCTATCACCGCACGTCTTCACAGAATCATCATCCATCAATTCTTCACCCATCCGGTCTCATCAAGTCATCAGCTTCAACACCGGCAGGGTCTGGACTCCATGGGGGGATCTATTCTGTCGACGCTCAGAATTCTCATTCTCTAAACAAATCACCCCCCCCACCCCCCACAGAGTCCAAGCGCCAAAGTATTTCTGTCAAGTTACATTTCCATGTTATCCATTGTGAGAAATTATTGTCTTCATTCTCTGATTGAAGTTTCCATTTGCTTCATCCAGTGAGACTCGGGGGGGACATTGATCCGTAGCTCTGATAAGGGAGGAGGAGCTTTTTAAATGAAACCTGGTCCTAATCGATAACTCGACTGTTTAAACGATCTGTTTGATCAAATCAGTAATTCCCTGTTACACTGAGCTAGTTTGACTGCTGAATGCTATAGCTCTTATAATTTAGCATTCCTAATCTGCGGTGATATGAATCTGTTTTTGCTTTCTGAGCTGTTCACAATTCAACTTTCCCTGTTCAGAAGCAGCAAGTCAGTTAAAGTGATCAATATCAGCATGAATCACATACAGTTAAATATAAATAAAGAGTCTGGCCCTTCCCGAAAAGCCACAGTTCAGTACGGAGTGCCAACTCTTCAGTCGGGGGTTTTAGCAGACTGAAGCCTCGTGGTCATTCAGTGGGCATTTTACATTTCAGCATGGATACTAACTTCCAGGTTTTGTGCAGTATAGTTCGGATGCATCCTTTCAGGAAAGGAATTGCATTTTAACATCCACAATGCTGTGTGAAATTAAACGTAAAAAGTCACTTAAACTGCGCCTACAAATCAAAACAAAGGAGGATTAAAAAAAAAAAACGAGGGCGGTTTGGTTAACGTGCCTTTCAAATGGTAAGTTGTTTAATTGTTGACATGTAACGTGAAGTTTTGTATTATTTACTGAACCATCATGTATATGTGTCAATAACAAGAGGCGGGTTAATGACGCCACTTCCACACTGAATGAATCAGACGAAGTAGGAACAAATATCAGCCTACTGAATAGTATACAACACGGAGAGAAGGGACTGTCTACTGTCAGATTGTGTAGGCACTTTGCAATTCTGAAACCCCTTCTATGTCTGAATCAGTCATCCCATGATCCTTCTACCTTAGTTCCTGACATTAATCAGCAGCTGCACAGTCTCTGGGAACACAGCACATTTCTGCTCAGATTTCCAGAATCCCTTTGGTTTGGCGAGCTGGATGAAAAGAGTTTGCCTTATAATTGCTCGAACAGTTCAATTGAAACGTAATTAGCTTCCTTTAGCCTCCTTCAGTTTCAGAGAGTACTGCAGAAACAGTCAGCTGGACCTCAATCAAGAAATGCTTTGCCTCCATTTAAAATTCCATCATATCTTATGACCTCTGGGAGCACCCTAGATTTGCCTCATCAACTATTACTGAGCTCTTAATGAAGCAGCCGCCGGCACATGTACCGTCTCACCTAAACTTATATTAAGTCAAAACAAAGAAGCATCCAAAGAATAGTCTTTAAAAATTGAAACTTTGGAGAAAGATACTGGAGCTTAATGGCTTTAAGGGTTTCTAAGGGAGCTTTATATTTCACTCTAACTCAAACACTGGAAGCATAACAGGACACATTTATAATGAACTGAATTTATCCTGAATCTAGCAACCAGGACTTAAGACTCATACCCAGTTAGAGCTAAGTATGTCTTAGATAGTTTTTTTCTCCAGCTGGAAATCTGTTTGGTCTGTCTTTAATAACATTTGTGTGAACTGCTTCTAACTGGTGATTGTTATTGTAGGCTATAGACATCACATGAGCAAAATACCTCCGAGCTTTTTCTCATGATTTAAAAAAGGAGACACATTATCATACTCATGCCATTACATTTAAGTTGCTGTCCTACAACTCCCACAGTCCCTCATGGCTCCCAGCCTTTGAATTTCAGAGCTCATTCTACTCAGTTACCATGATCTGGCCCCAGCTTGCCTTAACTGAGAGATTTTACTGCTTATTTTGTCAAATGACAATTACCTTGGCGGATATGAATCATGCCCATATGTCCAGTACATTATGTGCCCTTATGGTCTGCTGCGAGTTGAATAAGACAAGGACTGGCAGGGTGCTGGCCCTGTGTCTTTAGGAGCGTGACGTCCCCAAAGGCAGGAGGTTTTGCTTCTGGCTCGATAGCTTGGTTTGCTTGGCTTGATGGCAGCCTGCACCAGGCTCTAAGGGGATGTGACCCACAGAGCCTGGCAGAGTCCTGAGCCCCGGCAATCTGCTGCCTCCCTGGATATTACTGGGCATTGCTAAGATGCAACACCTTGTATGTCACAGCATCAGGGGAAAATCATGCCAAGACAAAAAAAGATAAACAACCCCATTTGTGGCAGTAAATTGACTCAGATCGGCTTAAAATCAGCATTAAGGACCCACCCTTTTCTGAATTTCATTTTTGGACAGTTTGAACAGCTGTCTCAGGGTTTCTACAGTGTTTTATCTTTACTTTTTTCATCACCTTACGTTCTGCTCTGTACATGGCTCTATCTATAGGTACTATAAATCAGATTCCATCTTTATAACTCTCTGAATCCAAATTATGAAGAGAGAGAATTATATTCTAAACATGTTTGTAGGGAAATGTCAGGTGGCCAGGACACAATAACTTTATTTTTGTGATTCTGACAGTGTAGTCATCTTCATGAATCTTTTTGCTCACACTCAAAACCATGGACTTTGTGTCATAAGTAGGGTGTGACTTTGAATCAGTCTGTAGGGACTTGGGTTGGGAACCGGAGGGTCGTCGGCTCATGTCCAGATGCAGACCATAATATGGGAGCATATGGGAGCATATGGGAGCATGGTCTGGTAGCTGGAGAGGTGCAGGGAACTTCCCAAATACTGCCGAGGTCCCCTTTAGCAAGGTACCGAACCCCTAACCGCTCTGATGCGCTCCCTGTGTGTCATCCCCACTCTGACATCTCTCCACTAATTCATGTCCACAGGCAGGGGCGCCGCCAGGAACTCCGGGCCCCATGAAAAGATATCACATTGGGCTCCTATCATGGCCCAAACTAACCCGGAAAATTTCTACAACCACACCTCCATCACACAAATGACCCATACAAACATTGAACTATACTTTACTTTGTTTTACCCCTGAAAATGGAAGATAAATAATCACTGTAATATTTCCTCATAGTTTAAAAATAATTTAAACTTTGTAACATAATGCACCTTTCCGACATTTGAAGCATTTCCTGCAGCATTATTTTACTTATTAACTTGCTATAGTTAATGTTGTAAATAGAATAGAATTACTTCATTGATCCCAAACTGGGAAATTGTGGTTAAGGCTTTTATTGTATAAAGTGATCTTATTGAATAAAAAATTCTACTTGCATTAATGATAAACTGTAAACATACAATAAATCAGAATTAGATGCCACATCTCTCACTCTTGACTCGACTGACCACCGATAGATCAATTCAGTCGAGAGGTGTGGGGCGGACTAAACCATTCTGCGCATTCAGAAGGGGGGAGAGGGGCCTTTGAGACAGACTCCACATTTTTTCCAGAAAGGAATTCTCAATGTTTGTTTATTTATTCAGACAATTTTAGTGATCTTATTGCAGTTATAATATAGAGAAATAAGCAAAATAAGAAATACATTTTTATTTCAGGCCCATGAAGGGCCCCCCCTCCCCACTGGGCCTGGGTAGTCAGTCCCACTTTTCCCCCCACTACGACGCCCCTGTCCACAGGTCCTGTTTGTGAATGTGTGTGATTCAGGCCTATGTGTGTGAGAAACATGTCTCTAAAATAACAGAGTGTAAAATCTGAATTTTCCTCAGGGATTAATAAATTACATAAAATAAAATGATAAATAAGAGTCTTGAGGCCATGCTAAACATTGGTCTGCTATCTCGCACCAACATTATATAGAGGTATATCAAAAGCTGTGACACTCTTAGCTAGTGAAGTTCCCCAGTTTAATCCCCTTTAAAGAGTCTTCACCAACTTGCAGTTTATAGAACTTCTTTTACAACATCTAATTTCCTTCTTTTTGCCTCAAACTCAGGATCTCACCTTCCCCAGCATACAAAGATGCAAAATGTTCATGTTTGGACAAATCCTCCAACCTGTGCAAAAGGTTTCATTAACATTTCACTTGGCTTGTTTAGATGCAGTAAGAAAAGTTGATTTGGCAGACCAACTAAAACTGGAGTTTTTAAAAGGATATAAACATGTTAGCCTGACTGAAATCTTACAAAGTCAGTAACACTGACTTTGTAAGATTTAAAAGTGTGATTGAGTAAAGTGTGTAACACTGAAAGTAACACACTGAGATAATGTGACTGGGGATCCATTTATTCTTGTATTCACCTTAAAGGTTCACCTTGATTTACATAGAAATAGATGGACATAGACTGACGGGTATAACATGACCTGATCCTCTGTGTTTCACATTGTCCTATCTCTCTGCAGGTGTCACTCCATTATTGTAGAAAGCTGTTGCCGATCAGCTGAAGTGTGGGAACCAGAGGAAAGTGTACCAGTGGTTTGACCATGGACCTAGGATTCAGATGGCTGCCTCCTCTCAACAGTGGCACTCTTTATCTCCTGCTTCTGGCCAAACTGGTGATACCTTCTCTCACCGAAAGTGAGTCCTATTATGCACACAGTCAGAACTCGACCCATGTTTTAAAGATCAGGGGCCGTATTCACAAAGCCTCCTAAGTACTAAGAGTTACTCCTAGTGACAACCTTTTAGGAAAATTCTTAGAATCATGTAATTTTCTAAGAATTTCACCTCAAAGTTAAGACTGGATCCTTGTAAAGATAAAAGTTATTCACATAGAGTCTTAGCCCTTAAGAGAGCTCCTAAGGTGTCAAACAGTGAGGAGGAGTTTTAACAGGATGAAGTGTTTCTCAATCTGAGGAGGAAATGGAGAAATGTTCTGCAAACATAAAGAATATTATTGAATCACAGTTGGGCCGAACAGACGGAAATGATTTGTGCAGACATTTCAAGCCAAAAATGACTTTTTCAGTGATTACCTCCACAGGTGGATCCAATCACAAATTAAGACTCTTTACCTGCTGATGTAACCTTTTGCATGTGAAGAAGCTGCTGCACAATGGGCATGTGATTTCAAACATCTTGTAGGCTGTATACTTATAAAGTATGTCTTACAAATGAACACAGATGCTAATTTTATAGTGTTCATAATTACACAATGTCTGACTAGATTCTATGTTTGACTTTTTTTCTCCATTTTGTTGGATCAACCAATCACAGCTTCTGAAAAAAATGTGTCATACCTAGCAATGGGGTCGACCATGCCTCCTCACTGAGATAAAAGTTTCTGTCTCTTCCTCGCTCAGAGTTGAATGTTCCTAAATCACTCCTTAACTAAAACCCCTTGCTAGGATTTGTTTAAGCTAAGTGAGAAGCTCTCTGAGAGGATTCTCAGGAAGTTTGTGAATACGGGCGCGTATTCTGTCTGTTTCTGAGAAGGGTGAAAATGCCTATATGCTTAACTGTAAATTATAATTAGATTACTTGTATATGTCAATAAAATATGCAGAGCCTGTCTTTCACTCTTCACATAACAGGCTGTTTGCCATACCTACACAGAGCTGGTTTCAGTTGGACTTCAGGTGTTGCTTTTAAAAAGTGATCTTATTAACATTAAAAATGGATGCTTAACTAACACACAGGCACCAAAAGAAAACAACTTAGTGTTGAGGGAGGCAGAGAATCAGATTCCCGTGAAACCAGATACATTTTTAGATATTAAAATAAAGTACCAACAGTTTTTGTGATTTATGACTACGTTTTATAAGATTTCCAGAATCCGGAGCTAGAAGGTTCATCATATGACTCTTGTATATGAGCATAGTAGTCTGAGCTGATGCAAGGGGCTCAAGACGGGTGGCGTCCTGTTATAGCTCCATGGTGAGGACTGGCGACCGGTGGCGTACTGTTATACTGACACAAGGCTAAGATAAAAAAAGAGTGCCTGGCATCTGTTTGGGCATGTGAGAGTTCAGAGAAATATCTCTATGGTCTGCCTGCTTTCAAACTAATCACAGACCACCAGCCCCTCATTCCACTTGTGAACTCCAGAGACCTTGACAACTCTCCAATACGCTGCCAGAGACTTCTCATGTGGTTGATGAGGTTCAGCCTGGAGGCTGAGTATGCACCCCTAGAAAAACCTGGTTGTAGCAGACATGCTGTCCAGTAGCCGCTATCAGGAAACGGGCAATAACAGAGACAGCCACACAGATGTTGAGCGTTATGTTGCTGCAGTGATGAACAATGTCCTACCATCGACGACAAAAATTGACAGCAAAAGGCCAACCCCAATGTACCTGTCAAAAAAACGTCAAAAAAATAATAATCCTGACACGCTTAGCTGTAAACCTGCAACCAAACTCACTGAACCAACAACAAATCAGAGCTAAGAATGCTGTTGAGAAAAGTAAGCATGCCTACATGTTTCAAGACAGCCCGCAACACTGCAGCAGTGAGACCCTCTTCTCAACAGGACAATCGTCTGGGCCTGTGGCATGCAGGGGAGAGCACGACAGAAAGACCAAAAGAAAAGCCTTTACTCTTATTGATAACTTCTTATTGAATGGTGGACTGGATATTTCTCACCGTTTTGTAATCAATACAAACAGCCCATGAATTAAGATATCTGTTATCTCCGCCTGTAGAAGAGCTTTCTATATCCCATGTGTTTCATCTATTCCTGGTTACCTTTTCCAATTCCTCTTTTCTTTACCTGTTCCTCTCCTTTAGCCATGCCAAGCATCACTAGGTCCCCTGATGACCAGATAGGGATATCGGGTGGAGTGGCGTCATTTGTATGCCAGGCAATAGGTGATCCCCAACCTCGCATCATCTGGAAGAAGATGGGGAGGAGAGTCAACTCAAGGCGCTTTGAGGTACATCGCAGTAAAGGTCCTTATATCTCCCTGCCAGATGTGTTTCTTATTTAGAAACTTTCTTCAAACTGGCTCTCTGCATTCTGTGTGTCTAAAGCCTGGCATACACTAAACGATTTTTAAAATCTTAAATGATTTTGAAAATGTGAGAGACCCCACACATGACAGCAATCATGACAGATTCACATTTCAGATCTCATGGTGAACAACGAGACGATCAACTCAGCACACCACACACTATCCAATTCATTCACCTACAACCAGATAGTCTTCACTATCATAACATGTAATCTCGCCACACATCTCGGTGTTCTCCCCACACAACAGGATTTCTGACCGTAAATATTGAACACGTTTCATATTTACGATTTCAAATTGGGGCGGCCCCGATCGTCTTCCGAGCAGATTGTGGAGGTTAAAATCACTCTTAACACACCGCACACCACAGGAGAATCTGGAAAGATAATCTGATCTTTCCTGAACATCAGATAGTCGGCCTTTGCAGACTTTGGTCTGAAGAGGGGAATCGGGCCCAAAATCGGCCCAATTATCTTGTAGTGAGTACCCCACTTAAGGCAGAGGCAAATGTGAAGGTTGCATCACTTAAACGTTAAACTATATCAACATATAAACTGTCATGAGTTTCTGGTTTAGATTTGTGTGGTTGTTTATTTCAATGTTTAGATTCAAATTACGGTATTATTTTGACATCCATTTTTTCTGTTCTTGTATTTTAGCCGTGTTGCTTTGATCCCTCTGTGTGTCTCTACCTACCCACCCGTGTTATATGTAAAGGGACCATCAGAAGTAACTAACCCCATTCATACACATTCATACGCTGCTGATGAAGCAGCAGGAGCAATTTGGGGTTAAGTGTCTTGCCCAAGGACACATCAGATATGTTGCCGCAGGAGCTGGGGATCAACCCTTACGGTTAAGGGACGACTGACTCCACCAACTGAGATACAAGAGTTGGGTTCCACTCCTTGTTTGTCCTGAACATAACATTTACCCAAATTTCCTCTCCTGGTCTATTATATCAGATGATTCAGGGATTATTATGTAGAGAATGAATCAGCATCATTTGAACATTTGAAAAAGAATCCAAATCAATGGTTTTCTCAATACTAGAAACCCCAATGTTCCCAGTTTCTCCACATCCCACACCTATTGACTCACCCCTGAAACCAGCACCTTGTACAAGGGGAGTGAAGATTACAGATGAACTGTGAAAAGTTATTCAATGTAGAGTCCACTCCTCTTCAATCTGCGCTAGACCTGGACTAATCCAATGTAAAATGTGTCATTTATATATAACATACTAAGTAAATGGACTAAATGGACTTGAGCTTGAAAAGCGCTTTTCTCGTCTTCTGACTACTCAACGCGCTTTTACACTGCCATCACAATGCACAGTCACACCTACACAGTCACACACTGATGGTAGAAGCTGCTATGTAAAGTGGCCATCAGAAGTGACAAGTCCATTCATACACATTCTTACGCTGAAAAAGCAGCAAGTGTCTTGCCCAAGGACACATCAGACATGTTGCTGCAGAAGCTGGTGATCGAACCCCCGACCTCCCGAGAATCGGCCGACTCTACCACTTAACCACAGCTGCCAAAGGATTTTGTCTTTAGCCAACTGTCCGTGGAATGTCCTTTTTTTGCGCTCATTGATCCATATTTTCATTTGCAACATAAGAGATGAATAAACCAGGTTATTTATGTGTCTTCTAGCCTTGGAATAAGATTTTTTTATAACATTGGACTTGATTCATCCCTTTACTCAATCACTTAGTCTGCATTCTGGTGACCTGATATCGATATTACACGTGCCCGTTTACAATATGAGAGCTCTGATATCTTAAAGTAAAAAGGACACCAGAGTAGCAAGGTTAAAAACATTAATTTACAACTAGATGATCAAACAGCAAAAACTGAAGGGGTTGTCAGGGAAACTAAAGAGATTTAAAGGCCAGTTGATGCTCCAGTCACACCACAAAATGAGAATGTCCATCCATCTTAACCACTGACCTCCCCACACTGCAAGCCGTCAGAGCATCTGTCAGACAACTGAAAAAATATTCCAACTAAAACGTTCCTTCTGCATCAGCAAGGGTCCCCACGATCCAAATCCAGTGAAAGATTCAATTAAAAAACATTACATCCATAAAGATACACAGATTTCTTCAAATTGCCACAGATGTTCCTGACTTCCCATGGTCGCCATTTTCTGTAATAATAATTTTTATATGCTTTCTTAGAGATGCAAATAAGTTTCATAAACAACTATATAAGCTAAAGCTTCAGCCTACACCTTTTGTGTCAAAATGTTTTTGTTTTTTCTTGTGACCGAAATAAATGATTACCACTACTACTACTGCTATATACTATTGTGCTGTTTGGATCGGCAACTGAGAGCAGAACATTGATAGACTTTTATCCTGCCAGGTATTCGAGTTTGATGACAACTCAGGCTCGGTGCTTCGTATTCTGCCTTTGAAGACCAACCGTGATGAAGCCGTATATGAATGCACAGCGTCCAACAGTGTGGGAGAGATAAGCACCAGCGCCAAGCTCACTGTCTTAGAGGGTAAGACCCATCTGAATGTCTGCCTTATTGAATTCCTCTTATTGTCCGGACATGCCAAGTATGTGCAATCTAATTCTAGCTGTTTAACTCCTGCTTCTTCTTGTTCAGTGTAACCATTTAGTCAACGCACGTATACATAAATGATAATATTATATAGACAGCAAGAGGGAAAGACATTTGATATTAGTTGACATTATAAAGAAAGTTCTGAAGCCGGCTACCTGAACTAACCTCGAATGAAAAAGAAAAGGTGTAAGAAAAAGTGGTAATAATCTAATTTATATTATTCTCCTGCTTTTTCAAATGCACTGAAGTTATCTTTCATAGAGTTAATTTTGTATTACATTAATTCACTCTATAGCGCTGTGGGTTACCTGTTTGGTTTGACAACACTTTTTGGTCAAAATGTTCAAATTCAGTTTGGTACTGTTGTTCAAAATGTGGGAACTTGCTTTACATGCTTAATATCTCTCTCACTCTTCCTTTTCCTGTCCAGCTTCCCGCCTGGCATATGTCGTATAAGAGTGATGAATGGAGATTGTAGACAGGTGACAGGAAAGTTATATTCATGTAGGTTATGGAATCAATGTTATCCCTCCCCCCCAGCCTCTCAGATCACCATCTTTCTAGCCACTTCAGAACGGGGAGATGCTGCCATTGCTCCACTGCCTCAGGCGAATGTTGTTTTGTTGCTTGAATACCAGAAGACTTTATTTTACGTTAGATCTAAATCAGCATCAAGACTGACACTGGCTCATGGGTCCCAAAGCTAGTAATTATTTCCAAGCAACTTTGAAGTCAAGACAGCAGAGCTGTGGTTATTTGGAAGGGGCGTTCTCTGATGACTAAAGAGTTGGTTGTTTTAAAATCTCGTCCCTACAAAGGAAAAGGTCTTAGTTTGTAACAAGGGTATGCTCATCAAATTAAGCACAGTTATACAGATTTGGATGTTGAACAAGGCTGTGGCATTGGATGATGGATGTAAAGTATTGGATGTGACAGCTCCGCCTCTTGTGGTGCATATCTTATCACTATGGACAGAGGGCCCATGAGTTGCAAATCCATGCCTCTTTTCCCCGCTATATTTACATTAGTGCTGAATGTTTCCCAGCTGTAAACCTTCACAAGGTTATTGAATAGGGTCAACAAGACTTGTAAATTCCACCAGATGTGTGTTCGGTTCGTCTCCGCTCTGTTACGGCAATGTGTTTGCTTCCACCGGCTCCGCGGCTCTGCGTCTCAGCTCTGGCGGCCCTGAGCCCTCCGCAGCAGATACGCAGGACTTCTATTTTTGCCTTGAGCGCAGCGCATCAGTGTACCACAGAAAAGATCGAGCGGGACAGGAAGTCAGACACTGAAACAACATTAAAACATCTTTGGGTCTTTTCAGAATAAAACACTCAGAACAATGACGTATGTGTGTGTTTGTTTTTGAGTTTTGAATGTTTTCATACCGTTTTATATCACATATATCGTATTATCTTGCACTATCGCGAGTGAAACTTTAAAATACTGCGGGAATTCCTTTGTCTCGGCGCTCGTGGCCTGTGGGTGTTGACGGTTGAGGGTGCACGGAGCCTTGACGGACCTGAGTGCCCACACAATGCACACGTATCTGGTGGAAGTTCTGGAAGGAACAGTAGAGCTCGCTCTCTGTTCTGTCAGGGATTAGTTGAATGATGTTATTATCCACTCATGATGCATCTGTCTCATTGCCAGTGTTTGTTTGCCCTTGTTTTGCCTCAGAGGACCAGATCCCTCACGGATTCCCCACCATAGACATGGGCCCCCAGCTGAAGGTGGTGGAGAGAACACGCACTGCCACCATGCTGTGTGCGGCCAGCGGAACCCCTGACCCCGAGATCAACTGGTTCAAAGACTTCTTGCCTGTGGACATTGACAGCAGCAATGGGCGCATAAAACAGCTGCGTTCAGGTAAAGAACTCCTGTCAACATGTTCAAAGACGGGTTTCTGTGGGCTTGACAGAAAAGGCAGCGAAGAAAAATAACACCAAATTGTGAATCCACACTTCATGTGTTGGTGTTTGTTAAAACTAAATAGTGGAGCCTTTTAATCTTATATACCGCCTGGTGCACCTGCTGAGGCGGCTCCTGAACAGACGGAGAGAAATGGTTGAGGAAGTTTTTTATTTGGTTTTGATGCCCGTTCAGGTTTTGATTTTTTCCCAGGCAGCAGGGTGGACCTGAGGTGAGGCTGTGAGGTATTACAAGCTGAACAGTCTGAATATTATTTTCTACAATTTGCTGTGTACTGTCACATGCGGTCCTCACGCAGACAAACACAGATGGCAGACGCATTCATGAAAAAAGATACATTTATGGTCTTGGCCTACACAGGCAAGTAAAATATCAATGTGAAGTCATCACTTCACCATTATTTTATATAAATTTATCCAAATAGTCTTTCATTTAATACAAAAATGAAAATAATTTGCCATGACGGAATTTAATCCTGAAAATAATCCATTTGGAAAAGTTATCTCTATTTTGGCTGATGTTGTGCCACTACAAACTCAGCTCGGTTATAAATTACAACAGTGTGTTTCAACAGTGACTGACGCATCAAAAGACCTGTACATGCTTTAGCAGCGTATATCCTGAATACTTAGTGCTCATTGTATTGGAGGATTGGAATAGAATCAAATTATATTACCTCTGAAACGTTTGGTATTCATGTAGCTCATAGAGCAGCAGTGACTGTACGCTCACAACACCATCAGTCACTGGAGTATAAAGATACATCTTAAAGAGAGTTGTCCTCAGACACTCAAACATTGTTTTTCCCTGGATAAATATTAGACTGCCATGGGTAAACAATGATAATAATATATCTAATCAATGGTCCTCCTTAGCAGTGCTTAGATGTTCATGTGATGAACTTTCATTGTAGCAGATAGATACATAAATAAAAATAGACAAAAGCTTGATTCAATGTTGTGACACAGAACTTTTATCAGCGATTCATGATCAAAGTTGCTGTGATTTTCTGACCGGATATATCAGATGAAGTATCCTGATGCTGCGTCAGAAAAAGACATCCCTTCCATCTTGTGAAAATATAATGAAGTCATATTATTTTTCACAATGAAAAACAAAAGTGTGTCATGTCATTCTGATTTCATGCAGAGGTGTGAATCTTCTGGGCGCGTCGCAATGCAGCCGGGCCCGATGAAAGCTGATGATGTTCCCGTTATCATACCCAGGGACACACAGCTTTCAGGGCTTCCTCACCTCTTTTTCTTTGTTAACACCGGCTTGGTTTATTATTCAGATTTTAAGCATCTGTATAGTAACCATTCCTCTTCCCACTGTTTGCTGCATATGACCTGATATGCCCAAATGGTGCCATTAATTAACTTACAACAGAGACGTGCTACTCCTGTGTAACTATAAACTTCAGTTTGATTTTCTTCACATATAATGAAGAAGAGCACTTTGAGATTAGTTTTAGTGTAAAGTGTGCTAAATATACAATTAATTATTAGTAGTATTAGTATTCAAACTTGAGTTTCCAACAAATGTGCTTTATCTTGGGATGTTCCAGATTAGCTGGTTGAACAAATACATTCAGCATACTTGTCAGTTGGCACCAGAATGACTTTTTTACAATTCTACAACTGATTTATCAGACAGTTTCTAATGAAAGTGAGGTACATCTGAGAGTAAAACAATACAAGCAAAGAACAAGAGAGGAGGAAAGTAAGTGCTAACAAACATACAAATAAGAGACAGAGTATAGGGAGGGTCGTCCCTTCACCATCCCTACCCTCCTAAAAATGGCAGCAAACTGCTGAATATTGTCAATCAATCATTGGTGTGAATCAGAGGAGATTTTGAAGTGGGTTTACCCCATGGAGACTGAAAAATAAGTGGGTATACTCTGTACACCTGTGTATACACAGTACACACAGTGCACTACCCCACTGGCTCTACTACCTGAATGTAAACAAGCAACATGGACAGAGAGCATCATAGGAGCTGCATGATTTAGCAATATTTTGATCTAGTAAATGAAGATGAGGCTGTATGTAGGCTGTGTCAGGTTAAACTGGTATATAACCATTTGAAAGGAGCATAACCACATTTCACCAGCAAAGTGGACCGAAGGCTGGCAGTGCTAACTTTAGCCGCACTTTGCTAAACAATTAGCATTTATCTGATTTTGAAATAAGCCGCTATAGGAACATCCCTATCTACTGTGTATGCCACCCGCCCCCTTGAAAGGTTGTATTTACCTTTAAGGCTAAAATATAGCACATTAAAATAACTAAATAGAAATAGTTTTTCATCTTCCTTTAATGCAATCCCCTTTTGTAGTGTTACTTAATATAAACAATGAAACCCTTCAGGAATGTGTTAAAATTGAAATGGTTTATGTGAAGGTCCTCAGTGTATTGAACCATTTAATCTGATGCAGGTCTTAACGTATGCTACCCATGCGGCTCTGCAATTGTTATGAGAAGGAGCCTGTTAGATCTGTGAATCACAGTTGTTGAAAATTCAGAGTCGTGTTTGTCAGCAATTATAAGATCATTTCAGACAGAACTTTGTTTAGATTTAGTCATTTTAGATAATAAATAATTCACTGGTCTAAAAATAGCACTTGGGAAGACAGAGTCTGCACACCAGAAGCTGCTCCAATTCACATTTAATGAAATGTATGACCACGTGTGACGTTTGGGGCCCTAACCCTTCATCAAGCTAGGAAACACATCCCTATATACAACTGCTGAGGTCACCTGACAGGTCATGTGATACAAAGTCACGATCAATATACAATGTAAATATGAAGACAGTTAAAGGACTACAAGACCTATGCATAGAAGTATTACAATAAATATAAAATATACACACGAATATACAAAAAAATGTGTTAAAATAATAATTGACACAACATGTCCAAATGAAAGTTCCTTTAACCAAGAACACTGTTAGGGTAATATGATTGGTTTGGTTTACATCTTAACTTATTAAACATTAAATAATACCTTTTCAAGTCAGAGGGTATTTGTTAAACCAGGTGAGAAAAGGGGGGGTCCATAACTTGTGTTTTTCCCCTCTCTCTATTTTCCTGCCACTTTTCTCTTTCACTTCTTTACCACCTTGATCGATTTACTAATGGCTATCTCTAATCTTATTTGCATTCAAATTACCTCTCCAGGTGGTACACCAATCAGAGGTAAGAATGCTGAGAAGAGAAAATGTCTACATCACTGCCCACTCTCCTCCATCATCATCATCATCATCATCATCATCATCTTCCTCCTCCTGTCATCACAGAGTCTTTCCAGCTCTCTGTCCTCTTTCCTAGCGTTCACACTTTCTCTGCAGGTGTGTGTGGTCAGGAAAAAAAGACACAAACAAAAGCCATACAAATGCTATTTGCAATTTTGCAATTAAAATCACTGTGCATAGTTGACAGAAAGTAGTGGACTAGCACACAGAAAAGGTTTAAAATGATTCAACCTTTTAGAATCAGTATGAAAGCAGACACTCATAAAGTGATCACCGCATGGGCAAAGTGGGCATGTACCCACAGCCCTGGAGAATGTGAGTCTTGCCCTAAGATTTATTAATATACATATATTTTTTATGTAAAGTATTTTTTGCTATTAAAATATTAGACTAAATATGCTTAGCCTTCTTGCTTCTCGTGGTTTTTCAGTAAAGGTATGGGACAGTCAACGAGAGAGCGAGCTGCAAGCCGCACACAGCTGTTTCTACGGGCTAACTGCAACTACAAACTATTTATTGTCTACAAAAGGAAGGAACAATAACTTTAAGAGACTGCTCATGTGAGCCATAATATGAGGAAGTTCCAAATTTAGCTTGCCTGTTTTCCCTGGTAAGATTGTGCAAGGACCAGAATGCACTATAGCAAGTTAACGTTCCATCTTGTAGTTTAACCACGCAGACAGCTCTTAAAGGATTATTAAACAATAAATGGGCTGTGTGATTGTGAGCTGCCCTGTGCTATTGTGTGACTAAACTCAGCTTAGGGATAACACAAGCAGCAAAGATAGTTTGTGTCCAGGGCCTGTGGTCATGACAATCCGTCCATTTTCATAAGTGAGGATAGAGAGAGAAGACAACAAGCTTTTGATAAATCCAGAGAAGATAAATAAAGCCTTCAAGAATTTAAATGGTTGAATTAAATCTTATTTTCTGATCTACCTTTTTTCTCCAGCAGCCAAAGAAGAGGTTAGTGTAGATGAGAGGAAACCAGATTGGTCCAATAAATGAGCAACTTGATTTTTGTAACATAATTCAGAGTTCAAATGACGGTACATTTCAGACATTTGTTTGGCTAAAGTGTTCCAGGCAATGAGAATTCAAATCATGTTAAAAGTTACTTTAAATAACCCAACTTTAAACATGAGCTCATGAGGCATGATCAGCAACACACTTATTAAAATCATCAGAACAATATAGACCCACATCAAAACTTACCTATCATCTGAGAACTGCCAAAATGAATTTGACACAACACAACTCTTTCTCTATTTGTCTTGTTATTATCTAGCTTAACAAGCATATGTTAAGCACATGTTGCCATGGCAGGATATTGCCAAGTGTTCCAGCGAATCAACGTTGATTTCCAGTACTTACATTAGTTTATAGTTTCCATGATCAGCAGGTATGCTAAAGAGCAGCATCTCACTTGAATTCCTTCTAAATCTTCATTCATCCTCATGGCTTTATACAGTTCATGTGCTATGTTTCGCCACACAAAGGGTACACCCACCTTTTCAGTTGATCTCAATTC